AATTGGTGGAAGAGAGATTGATAAATGGAATAATATATAATACTATTATGATGAAGTTGTTTAGAATGTCTCTATATCTAAAAAGACTTGTAGACATATTATATTACAATGGGACATTTTGACACGTAGTCTTGAATTCGATTGGACTGATCAACAATCTGAATTCGGTTATGTATTTCAATTTTCAGCAATTTATTATGTTGTTATTGCATAGTATGAAAAAAATAAGTAGATAAAATTTGAGGAAAAAAAAAACACTTCAGCAGTCGGAGGACATTAATCGGCTTTGGTCGGTCAGAGGACCAACATCATTTTTTTAGATGACCAAAACAATTGCAGATTTCGGAAGAGTAGAACCAAAATAATGGTCAAATAAAGGACTAAAATCAATTATATGTTGCTCCTTTTTCCTTGACAGGATGTGCACACCTGCGGCTCCTTTTTTAAAGTCAAAGAATGTGCTATTCTTTTTAGCCAATAAAAACTCTCTATATCTCACAACCCTCAAAAACCATATGCTGCTTTCCTTTTTATTTCTTCCCAATTTCCAAGCCAAATCTCCAAACAAATCTCTATCTCCTTTTTCTCTTCATTTTCCTAATAGGACATTAGATAAGGAAACCAAAATAACGCAAGGAAACTGAATAACAATAATATTCTATCAAAAAATAAAAATCTAATATAAATATATATAAATACACAAATAAATCAGAAAAGAAAAATAAAAACAAAAAAATCTGATTTAACAATATATTATAGATCATTGACACCTAAATTAAATACATGTACGTTTGAAATTAAACTCTATTCCAAAGAGGAATTGTAGTGCCCATGATCAAAACTTACATAATTCAACCCCGTATATATATATATATATATATACACAACAAACCTTAAACCGTGGCTAATTTCAATTGTCCAAACTACACAAAATTAAACACACCCACACACGCACAAAACTTCACAATGGCAACAACTAAAGAGGCAGAAGATTGCGCCACCCTGATGACATTAGTTATTGCATCGATTGGCTTAGCATTATGGGCTTTAATCTCGAATTTAATCTCTAAAGGCCACACGAAGACTACTTTCCCGACTTTCAAAATCGAGTCCCTCTCGGTTTTCGTACACATTAATAACTCGGCCACGGCTCGATGGGACTTAGGGTTTTCGGTGGAGAATATTAAGCTTCACAACGACAGTTCGTTTGGAGATCTAAGCGCATGGCTCTGATGCACGGGTCCCGATTGGTCTGAAAAATCCGAATTTGCCCTTCACGAGGGTTTCAGCAATGTGAGCTTGGACACGCCGTGGGCCCGTGAGGACTACATCGAGTCCAAAGAGCTCGAGTGTGATGTCACGTTCAAAGGTTATTACGATGATAATAATTATGAAATCACTGCCGAGTGCAAGAATGTGAGGGTCGAGATCGAGGGTGGCCGCCGTGGGATCATGATCGGAGGGACCAAATCGTGTGGAAAAACTCAACACAAAGAGATATTTAATTAACTATAGTAATTAGTGTAGGATTAGTATTAGATTTCTTTTTTTTTTTTAACTTTTTATTTTGGCACGCCACGTAGGTAGTTTTGAATTCGATCGGACTGAGAAATTATCTGAATTTGTTATATAAGTATGTCAATTTTTAGTGATTTTATTATGTTGTTATTGCATAAGTACATAATATTTGGTTCAATTTTAGTGATTTTAGTGTAGTACAAAAATTCTATAGAGCTATAGGATAGTTTTTTTATAGAGTTATCCACCACTTAATGTATTGACATCTGTCCAAATTATGTATTTATTGCAGAACACATGTCAATATAGTATCAGAGAATAAGTGTGGATGGCTCGATCTCATAAATCGAGCCATCAGTGTTGTTCGATTATTTCAATGTAAAAAAAATCAATTTTGTTTCGATTCAATTTTTTCTACATTGCAGTGCGAGATGATTACTCTTTTTTATAGGTTCGGTTTTTGACAGGTTTGTGCAGTTTTTTACCACTGTTGCTTTCCTTTTTTTTATTTTTATTTTTTTTCTTAAACGATAGAAAACTGTTGCTTTCCTCAATAGAATATTTATAACAAATTTATTAGAATTTTTATTTGAATTTTTGGTTAGGAATTTGATATTTTTGTCTGCACTGGATGCAATATTTACCGTACGGAGTACGTTTTGCATCAATCCACTCATTTATTCCCTATTTTCATCCAATAATAAAGCTACACGATTTTTTGATTTACAAGTTACACAACCAACCCAAGAGATTCCGCCCTCTCTCAGATGTATAATGTGCATTGGATTAATTTCCAGTTTCCATTTTCGAAATCTTGAAGCAGCTCGTGAAGAATCCGAAAGAGGGTCTTTAATCTCCTGGCAATTCCTTCGTCTGTGATAACAATGGCTGCAAATATAGGGATTATGGATAGCGCTTACTTCGTGGGGAGGAATGAGATTCTTTCATAGATTAACGACAGGCTTCAACTTAATCTCACTCGCTTTGAAGAGGTAAACGGACATTGCCATTGGATTTTGTGTTGTGCCAAATTTTTGTAGTTACTTACCTTTTTTTGGTATTTCTGGGTTTAAATTATATGCATGTGCTAAAATTTTCTTTTTTTGTGTATGCAATAATTTTAGTTTATTAAATTTTGCAATAGGA